TCCGTACTGACACACTCCGTAAGTTTACTACAGCTAGGTTTAGTGGGAAGCACGCTCATGAGTTATTATATACCCAACGTAGGTAACATATGGCGCTAATCTTGTCGGTGGTTGATACAAATTATATTATCTTAACCTACTTAAGCTAGAGTTTCCATTTAATGATTAATCAGAGGTAGAATAATCAGTAGTGTCCTAAAGTTCACTTGGTTGCACCCGCTGCTCGGTTTCACTCAGGAACATTGTAGCTATCTATCAGTGAAATAATTTTGGCAATCCGACCATCGGTTCCAAAGATTACCCCCTACATACAAACTTCCAAATTTTACCTCTTTATTATATTAGTAAAGATAAATATTCCTGAATCTTATAAATAGTTAAAAGACTTAGCTAAAATCACAATAAACCAAAAAATAGACTGAAGTAAAACGCCCAACTGCGATGATTGTTAGCAAGTAACCTTCATTACAAGAGAACAAGCGATTCATTGCTCAACCACCGTCAACACTCGTCAAGCTTTAGGCCCTGTAATTGACGGCCAAGTGGCGTAAAAGAGAATCTGAGTCGTCTCGGATGTTAGGACGCTGGCTCGCGAGCCAGATCGTATTACCCCTCCCTCATTCGACTAGAAACAACCATGCTTTCACGAAATCACTGGGCTTTGAAAAATGTTCAACTTATTCGCAAAGGGATCACAACAATCTGTATAAAATAGTTTCATTCCTCTGATGTTGATTCCTTTGTGAAACACAAGAGATTTGTATTGGTATTTGATCGTGTGTTTCTACTGAATTTGTGTTTGCCTGTTTGAGTGTCTATGTTGTCTGAGGTTTCGTAAAATACACATTTAAAGTGTTTTTCTAAAATAAACCTTTAATTTTATAACTTTCTGGAGTCAAGTAGGATTCAAAATCAATAGCTAGTAGCAATAAATACCGAGTCAAAGTTGTCGAACGGGTTGACGTACAATAGCTACCGCCATTAATATTCGCTTTCAGAATACAGATTGAATAAAGTGGTTTACTCGGAACCGAGACGCCAGCAATATACTAGAGCAGTAGGAAATTAACACTCTCGGTAAAGGCAAAGAAATAAAAACTAAGGAAAACAAGACTTTGTGTCTTAGAGCATAAAGAAAGCTCATAGAACTATATAAAAAAGGATCGTTTTCAATACTAACTGTATCGCTTTGGTTGTTTAAAGCGATTTTGCAAATACTCTTACTGGATGAAAATTATTTTTTCATCCTTGCTTATGGCTCTGAAGAGTTTGCAAGTAATTTAAAATCAATTGTTTTAACTTAAAGTTAGGACAGTAATAATGATTACAGCCTTGAATCAATTAGTTTTAACTAACTATGGATCTATTACTGAATAAGAATTTACAGCTAGGGTGATTTTAAATTGAGCTTTGCAGTTGCCAGTGTCAGGTTACCCACCTGTGACAACTATTCTCCGTTAAACTATTTAAACTCCCATAAGTCATAGATGAAGTTTCCAGTCTGGCGTTAAACTCATTTGTCATAGTCTAGTCTATCGGACTTTGTAGAATAAACCTTTATGAGTTTTATTTTTAAAAACCATCAATCGTGTTTAACGTAAATCGTTCATAAATTTTGCCTTAAATCATTCCACTTGTCTATTTGTCTTCCGAAAATTCCTCATTGCCAAAAGTGGCAATTAATTTATTGGACCCAAAGATATCTCCTTGTGGCAGGCCTTAACTAAAATAATAGATTACTCCCTTATTAGTATGCGTACCACCACTTCTTTGTTCCCGATTTATGGCAAATTACTGCTTTGACAGGATTGCCTTCCATCTGACCCTTACAAATGGTATAGAGTATTGTGAGGGGCTATAATTTGCTACTTGACCACCCAAGTAGTCCTTTAGCCTTTGAATAAATAACAGACTTGTTCAAGTTAAACAAATGTAATAAGTACTTATCATCCTTAGTTTGTGTGCTCTGCATGGCTGCATTTCTGCATAATTACGAACATGCCGCTCACCATATTTTTTTTGTAATGTAATTACGTCGTGGTTCTAAAAAACTTGACAATGATTAACTTAGGTTGATCTCAACTAAAAATGTTATAAAACATTTTTTTTCTGTAATTCTAATTACAATCCAAAGTAGGTAGTAATAAGTGCCGCAACACAATAAAACGGCAATATATTTTTGTATCAACGATTCTAAGCATAGTTTTATAGACATGAAAGTCATCATGTACATTGTCATATTAGTTTTGCACTGCACACATAACTATCGCTACAAAACTAAATAAGTTGAAAATATTTTTATACCACTTTCACGTATTGTAAGTCCATTGACGAACAAACACTTGGCGCTAGCACTCTTAGTTTCTTGGAGATAAAAATAAACTAGAACACTTCAAACAATAACAAGTGCTGCTCTCTAGTCCGCGGCTTCCCCTATTACGTTAACTTGACAAAAGACTCGACGCTTAATTATGAGACAAGCTGCACTTTCAATTATATTTCGTGGAACTTTTGTTTTAGTTTCCTTCTGTTTGGCTGGCTCATAATCCTAAATAGGGTCAGCCATTGTTATTCTTATTTTCCACTTAACTGTTTCTTCAACATCTGCGGAAACATTGCCAACCACCTGCTTTTTAATTGGGAATGTTTATTTGGTTGCGGTTCGGGCACCGGTTTGTATTTATGTTATTGTTAGCTTTCCCTTGATTTTGTGGGTTTATTTATTTATTAAAATTTTGTATATGAATTGGAAATTCTTCAAGCAATAAATTTGATTTTCAAACATTCAAATCTCGTCGAGATCGACATACATCATATAAGTTATAACTTATAACAAAGCAGATTTGGCCTCGTTTTTCTTTCTTACTGTTAAAGGTCATACAGACCCTTAGAGAAGATGGTTACACGATATGATTGATCCCGTAATACTGTAGTGTACTGTTGCTATAATACCTTTGACCTTTGAAGAGGTACAAAAGAAAAAAGTACATACAAAAGGTATTTTCAATAAGATAAGATACCACTGATTCCATTTCATTCATTCCATCGATTACAATATAAAAGATTTATGTTAAAACAAATGGTAACAGTATATAACTATGTTTCTGACATTAAAAAAAAACCTTAAAACTGATCTGGCCACAACTTAAATAAAACTATAATGTGCAAAATCCCTTTGGAAAAGTAGAAAATGATACTCAACGAGGCCAGTTCTTAGAAGAAATGAAAACTTATTTTTTTCTTCATTGCAAACAACAACTCTTATTACGACGGCTTAGGTTACAAAAATGTTGTTACACAGGCGTTCGTGTTTCTTTCAACTTTCTTAGTATTTACAATCAATGTTTTCATAAGATTTTTCTCGTATTATTACTATTTTTTCGAATAGGTATTTATTTTTCTATGTATCTCAATCTATTGCGATTATCATTTGGCACCGTTGCAATTAATACAATATTGTGAACCGTGTTTTTTATATTATTATTAAAAACACACCTAAATTATCGGAGAAAAGCTCTATTAATTTGGAATCACAACTGGACTCATATTAATTAGTAACGTGCGCGTCACGACGACGAAGTCATTATATTCGATAAATTTTATATCTCACGATACAATAAATTCAATTTTCCTAAGTAGACCGAAAAGCACTTAATCCAAAATTCTAATTAGAAAAGACGTAATTTCAATGTAAATCCACTTAGACTTGCAATCTCACGCAAACATCAAGTATTTGAATTTCAAGCAAAGTTGGTGGTAAAGTAACCGGCACATATACCTACAAGCAAATATTTAATAAAACAGTTACAAAACAGCCACTAAATATTCACAGACACAGTGAAGGCCGCTCAAAAAGTTTTATTGAAATAGTTCGTCCACACTGACGCTTTCGCCCAAAACGTTTGACCTCAATGAACATCAGTCTTTTTACGAGCGTGTTTCATTTGAAGCAATGTGTAGATCCGTCTTAAAATTCCTCTTTTAAAGAGCTTTATATATTTCGTCGCAGTAAAATGTAGAATAATTTTTTAGTTAAAAATGCTGTGCTTTGTTTAGTTGTATATATCTATGAACATAAGTACATACATTCATGAATTTCTTGGCTATAACATAACCATGCTTAAAATCGGCACACACAAAAATATCTCCAGAAGTGAATGTACATTACATACCTAATCCCTGAATTTACATTCTCATTTAAGCAAACGCAGTTATTTTATCAATACTCGATTGTAGATTATTCCATAAACTAAAAGAAATAAAAGAAACCTTTGAGTGCAACAGTGCAACATTAACATTTAATGCACATTATTATCGGACACCCAACGAAATAATCTACGTATCTTTTATTTTTCTGTTAGCTTCTGGCGGTTATCTTATCTTTTATGTATTCACTAATGACGGCACGTGCTCACAGGTATAAAATTCGGTTAGTTTTGGTCCCTTTTCAACAGCAAAAAAACCCTTAAACCCAGTGTATGGTCGGGTTATTTATGTGCGTGTGTGTGTTATCGAAGCAGATGTTTGCTTTGAACAGAATTTATATATTGCCTTAGCACGTGGTTGTCGATGGATGTTTTATTTTTATTTTTATATGAATCACTTCATAATTTAACATTCTTAATTTGATGAAATATTTACGTTCCTATGTTTTTTTAAATATAATTATTGTAACTGTTGTAATCATAGTCTTTTCAATATTCGATTTCGAGTAACAGCTACCAATGCTTGCGTAACTATGTCTTTTCTTTCCTTCACTATTACCTATCATTCCGTTACCCGAAGAAATCCAAGCGTAACAATAACGGCCATCTGTCGTTGGGTAAATCATACAACAAAAGATTTTTTGCTCGATTACTGACGGTTGTAAGATGTGATAGTTAGAAACGAATTGCAGCTGTCGTGTCATCGATAATATGTATGATAATTAAATTACTGGCCCGTATCGATATTTTAATCAGTAAACAATTGGAATTAAATGTATTTTTTCTTTGTTCCAGAATGTGATCTCAAGAATCACTTCATCGATGACGGCATATTTTATACGACCCTAGCAGACAATGCGGTCACAAGCTTCAAAACCGTTACCTAAGAAAGGGGAATTAAGTAAACCATCATTCAAAAATATCACAGCGAAGCAAGCTGCTAAAAAAGCTGTTTCGCCTAAAAGGGTTAAAAATTTAGTGAATAAATCATTAATTAAAAATACTAAGAAAGGTTCTTCCAAAGATGACCCATCTACTTCCAAAAACGATGATGCTTCTGCAAATAATGATAAAACCGACACCACACCAGAAGCTGTTAAATATGGACAGTGCAAAGCAGGTACGGCACGCGGTGATTCACCAACAAAAAAACTCAAAAAAGATCCAAAAGAGAAGAAGGACGCGACTAAAGTTGGACCCGATAGTGTGAAGAAAAACGGATCGAAAAAAGCTACCAAGGTTGACAAGAAAACTAAACCTGTTAAGGCTAATGTAAAAAAATGCGTAAAAGGTAAAAAAGATATTAAGTACAAAATTAATAAAGATGTTATAAGTAAAGCAACACCGAAATTTTCAAAAGCTAAGACTGTAATAAAAAAAGGAAATGCAAATAATGATAAAAAGAAAGGAACGGTTCCACCAAAACAAGATTCCATTGAAAAAGACCAACAAATTGATGAGAACAAAAGTACAGATATCACTATCAAAAAGGAATTAAATACGGTTATTGAAGAAGGTATTGAAAATAGTAAAACTAAAACACTAGAAGCAGATAAAAGTGAGGACAAATCAGACACTAAAATTGTCAATGATTCTGTACATAGTAAAACAACATCTAAGCCAGTAGGCCCCCCTGGTAATCAACCGGAAACACCTAAAACTGAAACTGAAAGGCCTCCAAAGTTTTTCACGTCGGCTAGGTCACCACGTACCGTAGATATTGATGTAAAATGTTGTAAAAATTCAAAAGGTAATTTAAGCGTTTCAGAGAGATTTGTTTCTATGAAAGTAGAAACAAAAGTGGAAGACAACGCTAAAGATAAAAGTTCTTCTAATACTTTAGTGTCACAGGGACCAGAGATCGATGTTTATACATTCACGGAAAAGGTCGATTCTCCAAAGAGCATATTATCTGATTTTCGTAGTCCTGTAAATAAAAATATTGGTAGAGTTCGACCAATAGCTAGAGTTAAGGGTACTGTAATTGACAAAAAGGCCGAATCAGAGAAGAAAAAATATTCACCTCATAGACCAATTGAAGAAGTCGTCAAACAATTGAAAAACAAGCGGTCTGAAGAATTAAATGCGAACCAAAATCAAAATGCTAGTGCAACATCTAGTGTACAAACCAATCCTGGTAATAGTGAGACAGAAGCTGAAGAAAAACCTAAACCTATTGTTAGTAAATCTTACAAAATGGTGGCAAGAAAATCTAGTATAACTGGGAAACCTTTTAGCCCGATTAAATTTTTGGAACAAGAAACGCCCAATAAAAGTGATAAAACTGAAAAACCTGTAAAAACTAACTCCAATGCAAAGAAAAGTCCCGTAAAACCTAAAAAACAGACTAAGAAAAGCAGCATTTCAGATGAAGAAATAGATAATTCTAAATTTGCTCTTAATACTAAAAGTTTTCATTACACGTCATCTGAAGAAAGCGTTAGTGAATCTAACGACGACAATGACACCAAAGAGTCTTCCGAATCTGATAGTCCTAAAAACAAAAAAGCCAAGAACAAAAAGTTAAAGAAAAATAGAATAACTGATGGTGCAAAAAAACCACCCTCTAAAGAACTGAAAGAACTGTCGAAAGATTCTCTTATCGACCTCAAGGAGAGCTCAGCTCTGTTAGGTAATGAAAAACCTAGCAAGCGACGCCTTAAACTGCTGTCAATGTGGAGCGGCCCCAAAAAACATCGCATGGCGTCTCTAAATGCGATTGCAAAAGTCCACTGCTTGTATGAGAATGAAAGTAGAACACACATGGAACTAGGATTGATGAAAACAGTTGATAGGCAAGTCTTACCGAGCACCTCTAAGGCCGGATCTCCAAAAAAGAAAGAAAATAAGTCAAAAGAAACAGAAAAGCAAGAAAGTACTTCAGAATCAGAATATGAAGCTAAAAAAGAGAAGAAAGAAGATAGTTCAGAAAGTTCGGATGACAACCCGCCACAGCGATCTCTGCGTGGAGTGCCAGGAATCAGAAGTGCAGGCAAGTATTGGGACCCAAAATCTTCTACCTCTTCAAGCGAAGACAGCGAACAAGACACTAAGAAAAAGGCGACTAATTCAGAGAAAAAGAAAACGCCTTCTAAAGCTTCTTCTATTAAATCAGACACTGAGAAACCTCCGGCTAAAATGAAAAAGACAGCCGGAGTACCCGTGAAGAAAAAACGTAATAGAAATGAGGTAGTAATGGACCTGAAAGATATGGTCGTACAAAAACGTATGGCAAGCCTTAACGCCACCGCAATTCTAGCAGCTAGTTACGAAAAACGTTCGCCGAAATCTAATAAAGATGATACTACATCAGACTCATGTAGCGATGAATCTTACTCACAGAAGTCAAAAAACGGGGTAACTTCCGGCGTTAAGTCGGAATCAAAAAACGAATATGAAGCTAAATCTGAAAGTGATGAATCCGCTGTATCGGATAGAAAACAAAAAGTCGAAGTGATAGTTAATCAAGACACTGATGTAACTATTACCGGGGTGTACTCCACACATCATCACGAGGGGTTTTGCACGGTGTCCGGGATGCAGTACCGCATCTCATCGACAAGTCACACACAAACCACAGCAACAGCTAACTGCGAAAAGGTAAGAACATTATTCAGTTGTAAATGGAGTTTGTAATCTCGAATAAGTCACTTATACTCTTGAATATGAATCACATAAACCCCTTTCCATCGAGGAAGTTAGTAAATCAGACCCCGTATTACCCATACGTAATAAAGACTCTACCCGCTGGCGCTTCGGTTCTCATTAATACGCGGTAATGAAGTAAGTTCTATGTAAACATGCCTCGGGACCTCATCCACACATTATCCTTCATCGCTTTGCCTACAGACGTCTACAAAGAAAAATAAGCTTTTTGCATTAGATGCGAATGGCGCTTTTCGTTTGCATTCTACTTATCAATTGAGGCGTGAACGATTTACGCGTGAAAGGAGTAACCATCGTGTTACCCTTGACGCAGATTATTATCGTCTGACGCGTTAAATCTTATTAATGTTAAACTCTCAGAAGCGCCAGGGATCCTAAATAGATATACATAACACAAGTTTGTTGATCAACGTACGATACGTACTCTCGACGGAATATTTCACAGCCTTTTTTGTGCTGAGATGTAATGTAATCCTACCTCAGAGGACGTCATTTTCTCTCCCTCCTCTTTGTGTTTTATTGTTACGTAACTTGTGCAAATAAAGTAGCGGATTTATCTTGGCATATTAAATAATTTAGTATGTAGTATCAAGAGCTTATAGCGTTAATGTATCCACAGGAGGGATGTTCTCGTGAAGATGGAGCCCGCTACACTCCACTTTCCGCCCTGTCATCCATGCAACCGCCCGCCGACCACTCGCATTCACATCCAGGTAAATAAACTACTTTGAATACAAAACTAAATCTCTGAATGTGAAGATGTTGTATTTCTTGGCTACTTTGTAAATCTAAGCTACTGTGAATAAAATACAGCTTAGGTTATAAAATATTAGTGGGTTGCCATACTTTAAACAACATCAACATTTTGCTCTTATTTTAATTCATTGATACAGTATATTAACTTTCTCGACGGCTTCGCTTAAATCGGTACGTTCATGATAGGGCCGGAGCTAGCGATATTTTAATTTAGATCGTCAGATTTTTGCAGCGATGAAAGATAGCGCCGGCGGTAGATTGAAAAGCGTATAATCATGAAGACAAGAAATATAAATAAAATACTGTATCAAGTCGGTAGGCCATGAGTGTCGATAATATCTACAGAACTCGTTTCTTTTTCCCCGTGTATTTTATTAATTATTTCACAAATTATTCAGGAATAAATGATACGCTCGTGTAGAGCTTCACTCCAATTTATTATTTTATGTAAATTATTTCGACAACTTAGCCACATTTCGATGTAAATGTCGAATAAAACTTTTACAGGAAACTGAAGATAAAATACGATACAAATAAAAATTTAATTACTATCCATCTGTTACCACGTGTTCGAATACTAATGTGAGTACAATGAAGTTTCGAAACCAAGGTCTGGCAAAATAGTCTTCGGGCTTTGTCAATATTTATGAGCACCTTTTACAATAAATAACCGAAGAAGGAATATCTGACTAGCTAACTAATACTAGTGCATCCCTCTTGAAAAATAATTGTTCAATTTCTATTCTACGAAAATGCGTTTGCTTGTAAATATATCTTCGAGCTATCAATTTCCCATTAAAGAAATACGATTAGAATTCATATGATTCGCTGAGTGCAATCATAAATCTTATTCGCATCTAATAATAAAAGTAAGTGGCCAAGTTCTCGTAGCATGAAAGGCCTCATAAAACTTGTAAGCCCGGAAGGCATTACGATCACCCCATTTAAATAGCTACTTTACGCCGAACGATTATTAAAATTGATATCTCTGGTTTCTATTCAAGCAATAATCTATTAGATATTCCCTCTTTGTGATGGTGTTAATTATGTCTGATAAGCTGATTTACTATTTACCATTTACCACTATTTACCCTTCCAGCGTTGGAAGGGTAAATAGTGTTTTTTTTTGTGATAGGTCGCAAAACGAAGAGCCATATCTCGTGATAGTAACCAATCAGCGCCGCTCACGAAAAGTCGTAAGATCGGAGAAGTTATAAGACCGTTGCCTGTATTTAATGGGTTGCAAGGGATTTGAGGATTAGCCATTTGGGGATAGGGGATGATGAGAGCAAGGATTGGGACTCTGGTTACATCACGGTGGAACTAAACGCAAAAGCTATTTCACGCCAAGATATGGATGGAGATGGATATTTTATCTAAATTTTCTCATCCAGTATTACGCTAAAAGCTTTAGCAACAAGATTACCTTTATAATCACTCCCTAACGTCCGATTACTAAAACTTAATTTCAGGACCAGTCAAAACTTAGAAGATAATATTATGGTCTTTCTAAAACAAACTTCTACTAAAAGTGTTATCTCAATATTCATTTAAACATATAATTTGAAAAACAATAAATCATATATATATTTTAAGGGGTGACAAATAGCCCACCCTTTAGTTTTCAATTCACTTCACTGTTACATTCACAACAACAAAATCATGGATGATTCCATTACCCACCGTCACGGATCCATCAATCGTGGATATAACGTCCAATTTTCAATTCTATATGCCATGTTTACGTTAAAGCTCAGAGCGAAAACGAACGCAACCCTTCGTAATATGAATAACTATAGCGATTTTTGAACGCGGCCATAGAATCCAGAAGCGTTTATTAAAAAGCGAAAACTGTGAAACTCCCATTTGATTGTTTTCGAGTAACTGAAGCTGAAAAAAAGTTCTTCACGAATATTCTGTTGCGTAGCTTTGTAGGATTTCATTTTGGATCTTTTGGGAAAACATATTTTTCCTGTTTTGTAACTGTAAAATGTTTTACACAAAAACTGTGATTAAAAATGTTTTGAATGAACGAAAAATTCCTGTTTTTTGTGGTGAAGTGGTAACATACTTTTCGTCAGCAATTTGTTGTTTTTTATTTTGTATTTATCGAGTACGCAGGTGTTAAAATTTTTAATGAATTAATTAATGGGTTAAGATCAGATTTTATGAATTAAACTTTAGGCATCAACAAGATTTCAGTAAATAAGTACTAAAAATGATTACGATATTGAAATCCATGATCTTGTTGCTTTCTGTCTTTCAATCGGGTCTAACCGAGTAAAATCCGTAAAGATTATTTTCACTGTTATTACTCAAATCGAAACAGACAAAAAATCTAGAAGAAAAGTAAACTGGCAATAAACCCACAAAAAGAAAGAACGAACGAGGAGCTTCTGGAAATAACAGTGGTTATAAAAATCCATATACCAGACGCGAAAATTGTGTAAACAAATCATATAATATGGTTCAACATAACGAAGATCTCGGTACAATCACTAACAACAATGTATTATATTTTTATTTTCGTTTCCGACGATAACGCTTTAAGGGAAAACGTATTCTATTTTGACGGTATTCGAGCGTTTTTCCATTAGTACAAAAATATTGATAAATTTATCAACGCAGTACTTTTAATTATGAATTCTTTCTGAATACTTATACAATAAAATACGGAAGCAATGACCTTTACCTAACAGAACAGTAACAAGCGATACTTCAATTCTTTCTACTTTTAAACATCAACAAAACGCAAGACTGGCACACTCCATCGCCGCACCTAGGGCGGTAGAAATCTCTTGATGATTTTAACCCCCTCGAAAAACATGTTTTATTTTGTTTAATACAAATAAAAAAAAACTCTAAGCTAACCGAACATATTGTTAAAAACACCAATCATGTTTAAAGCCTGTTAAACTTTTCACATCCAATTTTTTCCGACACGTATTAGCTAAGCTTCAACCGGTGTTAGCACGATCATCGAGCCATGAAGCGATGACTTTTAAACTAACCACATATTGGCCACCAACGTTCACACATGTCCATTGCCTCATTTCTCCCCTGATTGACTAAACTTGTGTTAACAAAACGAGCAATGTATGCTTTTTAAGTGTTGTTGTCGAGTGGTCTACGTGTGAGGTCGAGATAGTTTTAAATTCAATATTCAATGCGTTCAACGCCTCATTGCTCATGTTAACGCTTTTAGTACATGTTTTGAGATCACTTGTGGCCATGTTAAGCTAAGCTGACTTGTTCTAGTAACTCGTAATCTAGTGCAATTGTATTTCATTACAAACAACAAACAAACTGGTCATATTCATACATATGTTATTGTCACTACTAATTAATTATCACTTTATTGTTAATACGTTACTGTATTACGGGATTTAACTCGCACGTACCATTTTATTTGTTTTTACTTGACGTTTCGGCAGGGCACCTGCCGTAGCCTCAGGCCCACTGTGGCAGAATCACTTTACTGTTTGATGAGTAACTCGACTAGTTTCAAGGCAAATTAAGGGCTCATTTTCATGATAAGCATTGTGAGACACACAACGCGACGTGACAAACGTCATGCAGCCAACAGACAACACATTTTTAAAATATCCCACAAACCAAGCCTGAAGTACCTACATATTTGAATAACTTACTCACAATGGTAAAAATATAACGTAAATTTCAAATTACCTAATATTTTTTGTGTGCTTCATAAAAAGGCTGACCAAAATCGCGTCAAAACACAATTTACAAATAAAAAATAAAATAACACTTTTAGATTATCAAATATCAAATCCGCTGTCACTCTACGCACATTTTTATTGTATGTAAGGTAAATGTCACAATAAAAATTTCAATCCAATGAATTGCTACCTCCCAAAATACTGAAACTTTAATAAGGATTGTTTAGAAAAACAATCCTATTTAGATCAATTAGAGTACCACCATCCATTAGTACGTTTGACCTTAGAAAATGTGATTCTGAAGGAACAAATGTTTTATTTGGAAACATACTCACACATTTATGATTCTGGGACAGTCTGTCTGATAACTTTTAACGACCCATTTACATTATTTACGAATCCACAACATTCACCATAAATAACAAGTCCCTGTGATGTAGACACATTTCCTTCATCATTTTTACCGTACTAAAATCTGTAAGTATATCAATTTTATTAACATTTATTATGTATTTATGTAATTAACATCGTTAGCTTATTTTTTCCTGGTGTTAGTTAACATTACATTTTTTTCAAGATTTCGGTATAATATTTCAATCGAACCAGCAGTTTCAGAGCTCAGAACACACAAAGATACACATTTGTCTCTATTATATTAACACAGATTTGTACTGAAAAAGCAAAAGGTCTGAATTCTCGTGTATCGCTCATCAAGACCGTATTACCTCATACCGTACGTTAATAGGTCAATGTTTTTCGACGAGCGCCGACCTCGTACGCTGCGCGGGCGCACCCGATGTGTCGCGTTTCACACGATGGACGTTTTTTGTTGTTTGTTTCACATCGTTCATTGGTTGAGTTGTTCGTGTTCTGTTATTATTTTTTAAATAATGTCGTTTTGTTATGCTCTAAACATCTGTTAGTTTACATAATAATTTGAATGAACTGATCCTGACCTTGTTTTATCTCAATGTATTCGTAAACTCTAATGAATGAATACATAACGTTCACATAAACACGTTCACCATTCCCCGTCCTCACATCTGCATTAAAATATAATATTAGCAATTAATTTTAAATATCACTTACAGTTTAATAATACTTCAGGCTTACATCACGATCATTTACAATCCAAATTACAATGACTTTAATTGATACATTGGGAACGTAAATTGCGCTATTAACGCGATAAGATTCTTCGAAGATAACATCAACAGTTGGTCGTAATTACCTTTGGTGTAAAGAAAGAGGAGTGAAATATTTTATACTGAGTCCCT